CTAAATCAATCACAGAAAGGGAGAAAGGAGAAGTGACACTTCGATTAACTCAAAATCAGAGGTTCGTCATACATTACCTGATTTCGGTTTCGAAAGATTTGATGTAGAGATCCCCAGTTGTTACCGCAGTTCACGCACAGGAAACGCACAATAAAGCTTTTCGCAGAAGTTTTGCAGAGAAAGGAATGCAAGTAAACCTCCCTCTGCAAAAAAAATGTTTATTTATACTTCTGGACAAAATTAGATCTCAACGGCTAAGATTCATTTAATCTTACGGTTCCTATTTGCACCGTTTAGAATTCGACAGCCAACCCCAAACGGTATCGTTTTGAATTTGACGATTCATTTTTTAATTTTTGCCCGTTTAGCTGTAGCAGTTATCTTTTTATGGTCGCATTTATTGCACACGTCATTCCAAGGACAACTGTCACACCTATGTCAGTATTTTTACATGGGCCCATTTACGCCCATTTCAACACCTTTGTTCACTTTTATACATTCTCAATTTTGCAAGTGTCTCACCTCAGCTCCGATCACAATAATCATGCATTACATTTCACATCGGCTTCGGTCACAGTGACCCAGTATCACACATTTTATTTCGGCTACGGCCATTATGACTCCAGTCATTATATTTTATTATAACTCCAGCCATTATGACTCCGGTCATCATATTTTAAGCCCAGCTCAGCACTTCTGCTTACTTTTACAATTACACTTTTTGACAGGCAAAGTGTTTTACTTCGGCTCCGGCCACAGAGACATGTTCTACTTCGGTCCTGGTCACTGCAACCACATGTCACATACTCTACCTCAGCTCCGGCCCTTATGACTTCGATCATCATATTTTGTTACGGCTCCGGCCATTATGACTCCGGTCATCATTTTCCATCACGGCCTTCACCTTTATAACTCCAATTATCATTTTTTATCATAACCTTGGCTCCATTATAACTCCGATCATCATCTTTTATATTATGACTCCGGTCATTATTTTCACCACGACCACAGCTATGATAGCTCCGGTCATATTCCATTTAAGGCACCCCAATATGACCCACTGTTATGTATTTCATTATTAGCTACGGCTATGTCTAAATTTAAATTACAGCTTTCTTCCTTATACTTCCATGACTTATCCGTAATTTCTTTGTTCATGCACTCCTCTCATTATCCCCAGCAACATCATTCACAAGTGAATGACTTCGGGGGGAATAGTGTAAGGACAGGTCTGAGGTGCCAAGCCTCGGACTGCTACAGTAATTCCTTTATGACCGAAGTGAGAAATGAATCCAAAGCTCCCTGCTCAAATAGCTGCATGACAATGACAATAAGCATGCCCGCACCTGATTCCTTATGACAAGTGGCACAACAAGTATGGTGGACATCCGTGCATCTGAATACCTCTCAAATTCCCAATCCCGAAATAATCGTCTGGATAGACATGTCAGGCTCCGATTGTCCTGCTAAGCAAGCCACGTGGATACCTCACAAAGGCCTATAAATACCCCCAAGAGCCACCTCAGAAAGGTAATTGAAACCAACCCTAAGCTCTTTTTATTTCCGCTCTAAAGGTAGCCCCGATTATTGCTCACTTAAGCATCGGAGTGTCTACCCCGAGTTCCACCTCGGGGCTTTGCAGGTCTTCCCGGAGTACAAGTGCGGACTGAAGAAGGACTCCTGGTTTGGTGCAATTACATTCCGTTGATGAACAGATCTCCTTCCGATCTCCATATCCAGTTCTTCCATTCTGACTCCGGTGCATAATCCCTCTTTGTCACCTCCTTCGTATATCTGTCGTCCGGTGCGATGTA